GCTGTTGGACGTAGTTTATCATCTTACAAGGGCGTGGATGTAGTTTATCGTGTTACCCAGAGTGCCTCATTTGGTGGGGATCTTACCTCACTGCAGAGGTACAGCCGGTGTAAACTGAAGCCCAGGCCGACAGGGCGGTTATCATCATCAATAATCCTGGGGTCTCAGTGGCATTACCGCCTTACTTGATGTGAAATGATTATCTAAAATATGCCGGATGCGGACACGAGTGAAGCCTGGATCTGCACCCCTGGGCAGGATGTTCCAACTGAGGAACCTGGTTTCTTTGATGGTCAGGTGTGAAACTGAGTACAAAGCCTATTCTTATGTCAATAGGAATGAGTTAAATACTATCTATCATTTTGGTAATTGCTCCAACCCGGAGGTAGGCGAGAGCTGTAATCTGAATTGTAGAAGGAAAGGACTCACATAACTGTCTATATTTCTGTGATAAGGAATTGTAACTAATTACACTATCTACATTTTTCGGGCTGTTGTCTTCATTGTTACTGTCATATTCCCGACGTCTCGACAGTTGTACGCTTCGGCCTCTTTCAGCTGACTGGAATTTGGAACACATGGTCCAATGGATAAAAGCATTGGTTGAAGTAGACCGGTGACTTGATAGAAAAAGGTTTGAGTTCAATACCTGGCCACAGCAGAGGTGAACAAAAACTTGCAGAGTCGAGTAAAGGGAAATAACTGAAAACTGAGACATTCGGAAGAGGCATGGCACTCGGAACTAGAACAATCTACCACGGTGGACGAAATAAAGGTTGCGGCTTGAAATTCCAATCACCTGAAGAAGGCCAGGGCGTATAATGGCCGAAACGTCGTGAATATGACAACAAGGATGAAGAAAACATCGCGACCCATGTAAGTAGTGAAAAGGGCTGACATATCCGAGTAATGCTTTGCCAAAAAACTCCTACAAGAGATATGTATATTTTGCTATAAAACTGTATATAAGCCCGCGCAGTGGCATTATATTGCCGAATGAGTAACTTCAGGGAGAGCATCTGTACAACTATTTGTACTCAGGTCTCTTTTGGTTAGGCGCCAAGTTATTTCAATGCGACGCAACTGGTTTTCGAAATATTCTTAATGGTTTGTTACCTCCTGTACGGGTAATTTTAACTCGGAACCTCAAAAGGGTAATTTGCAGTTCAATCCCCGTGCTCAGATTCTAATAAAAAAATATTCTCGAATAGTTCCAATTAGGTTTAAATGTACATGCTTAATTTAAAAAATAACAAAGAAATTTTGATAAAATCTACCATTTTGTATTTATCGACAATAAAAGTTTGGACTTATTCGCGTTGCGGTGGGTGACGTTGAAATTAATTCTGCAACCCGCCTGCACAGACGCCGTATTAATTTTAATGAAGTGGTCTTGAATTGAATCGGATAAGGTGCCTTTTTTTTCAACAATTAGAGGAAAGCATACGTTTTAGTGCATGTTATTTGTTGTACGTTTGATTTAATGGTCGCTCAGTTCCTTTGCAGTCCGTTCGTTCCTCGCCAGTGTTCTTTTGCCGCACCCACAAAATGGCGGCAGCGAATATACATATCGATTAATCTTTTGACGAACTCACTACCTACCTTTGGTATTTGGCGGTTATTAGCTGGTCTCCGCTTCTTATTGGTCGAGGTTTGCTTGCATAAAATATATAGGTAATTGGGATAATGTCAGTTCAGATCGTGTCAGAGACACAGAAACAGACAAATATATTTTGAAATAGTGAATACCCATTGTTAATATTGAAAGCAGATAAATACGTTTATAGATGTTTATAGATAATGAGCGAAATCTTTGTCTCCAACTTACATCGAGAAGAGAAAAGTTAATTTTGAAAATCAACATTTTTAACTTTCGTTTTCATCTGGATTCAAATTACAATTTATTTATTTTTTTATATCGATCGGGCATCGTTACTATTTTATATCCATTTATTTGGAAAAGCTTGTTCCCTTTTTTTTCATATGCTGAAACGGTCCTCAACCTATTTTAGAAAAAAATCATCGACTGAATGAATATTTGTGAGTTACATTGAATCTATAGCTTCATCTATCGCAAGGAAAGTTGGTTCTCTGTGTGGCGCCAGGTTTTTCTCGGCTGAATCCATCTTTCAATTCTACAAATCTACCATTCGTCCTTGCATTGAATACTGTTGCCATATATGGTCTGGTGCACCCACTGTATATCGCTAGGTCCTAGACAAAATCCAGAGACGGATATGCAATGTGATAGGTCCTAACCTGGCATCTCGTCTACAGTCACTTTCTTACAGACGTGCTGTGGCTTTCTTCTGGCTTTTCTACAAGTATTTTCATGGCAACTGCTCTGACGAGCTACTTTCATTGGTACCCCAACTGCATGAATTTAAGCGTGCTACTAGGTTAGCATCTCAGTACCAACCTTTCACTGTCGAAACAGTTAAATGAAACCGCCTCTTCTATTCCAACAGCTTCTTTTCTCGCACCTCCCGACTGTGGAACTCTCTTCTTTCTACTTGCTTCCCTAATAGCTATAATCTACAAATATTCAAATGTAATGTCAATCGACATCTTTTGATGCCTTGATCCTGATTTCCGTCCTTCTTTATATCCTTTCCTCAAACACCCATCTATATTCTCTCTCTCTCTCTCTCTCTCTCTCTCTCTCTCCTCTCTCTCTCTCTCTCTCTCTCTCTCTCTCTCTCTGTGAGTGTGTTCGCCTTTTCTTTAGTATGATTTATTGAGTGCGCCCACTGGTAGAGGAAATAAATAGTAAACAGTAAAATAAATAGTAAAATAAAAACAGGGCGTCTACTCAAATATGAGTATCCACTAAAAATGACGTTTGAAATAATACAAATATACCTGATTAAAAGACGAAATACATAAATTTTTTAGAAATATATATATATATATGTGTGTGTGTGTGTGTGTGTGTGAACACTGAGGCCTGAAGATTGCATTCATGAATAGAAACTTAAGTGTTCACTTTATTATTTACATATGCATATACTCTATGTCAGATATTGACCACTTTTATCCATAAATATAACATTCCTTATAACGACATTCTTATCATATATATATATATATATATATATATATATCCTCATATACAGTAGTGAGCATAAAGATCAGAACGATGTTAAAGAAAAGTCTAAACTTCTTTATTTTAAGAATAAAGAAGGAAAAAGTATATAAAGGTAAATTATATAATTCGAAAATATAAAGCTCAATAAACTTATTTTGATAAAGTTATAAGAATAATTATATAACATTCATTCATTTGAAACTCCAATTTGAACTTGTTAGCTTCTTTTATTACGGAATAAAGACGTTTATTACTTTCATGTTCTTTGACACATACCATCATCCAGTCTTCTGTAGTTTCCAAGTATCTTTGGAAGTCAATTGTTATAGTTTTGTAGGACAGTTCTAGTTGAACTAATCCTCTGCTTCCTTCGGATCTGGGCACATACAGACGATCAATATCAGCTTTGGGATGATTCATGCGGTAGCAAGTGAGAAGCTTTCTCGTTTTGGCGTCCATTCGCTTAATTTCAGCTATGGTCCAGTTAAGGACATTAAAGCTGTATTGCACCACAGGGACAGCCAATATGTTTATGGCTGATATTCTGTTTTTTGAGTTCAGCTCGGTATTCAATACCAGACGCACACGCCTGTATTACTCCTTTCTTACGTGTGCGTGAGTGTGTCTGTGTGTGTGAATGTGTGTCTCTGTATGTGCGAATGTGTACCTCTGTGTGTGAGTGTGTGTCTCTGTGTGTGTGAGTGTGCGTCTCTGTGTGTGTGAATGCGTGTTTCTATGTGTGCGAATGTGTGCCTCTGTGTGTGAGTGTGTGTTTCTGTGTGTGTGAGTGTGTGTATGTGTGTGATTGTGTGTCTCTGTGTGTGTTAGTGCATGTCTCTGTGTGTGTGAGTGTGTGCCTCTGTGTGTGAGTGTGTGCCTCTGTGTGTGGACGCTCTCCTCGATTAAGACTTGGGAAGGCCTGACAATACAGATCTTAGAATCGAACCATTAGACGGCCTACAAATATGATTTGATTATAATAATGAAACCTATGTAGATCCAGGGACACGTTCCGGAAGAAAGTTTCTGATCAGCTCTCCACACACACATATTCGCAACGTTTCGGCCGTTGGGCGCGAATTTATCGTTCCAAGTTTCTAACCATATACATGGTACGAATTCATATATAGACACACACACACGCATGCATACATACACACACACGCATTCATGCGCGCGCATATATACACATGCACATGTATATTTAAGCGAATGGGATAGATAGATAGATAGATAGATAGATAGATAGATAGATAGATAATGAAAAGTGAGATAAATAGACAGATAGGGAATAACATAGATAGATAGATAGATAGATAGATAGATAGATATGAACAGACAGAGAATAAGATAGATAGATAGATAGATAGATAGATAGATAGATAGATAGATATGAACAGAGAATAGGATAGATAGATAGATAGATAGATAGATAGATAGATAGATAGATAGATAGATAGATAATGAACAGTGAGATAAATAGACAGATTGCGAATAACACAGAAGAATAGATAGATAGATAGATAGATAGATAGATAGATAGATAGATAGATAGATAGATAATGAACAGTTAGATAAATAGATAATGAAAAACAAAAAAATTGCTAGATAGATACTATCGAACTGACCTGTGTCGTTATACGGAGTTAAATTCTAGATTCTTGGAACGCAGTCGAGTGTTCTTATGAATTTAGACAAAGAAACATGAATAAATTTATTCCGTGTGAATTTAAAGCGTACATTATTCCCAGTGGAGGAAGCCGATGTTGTTTAGTGAAGGAAATTCAGAATTAGCAGAGGATTTAAGCCGGAGACGTGCAGAGTAGGAATAGGTTGATCGGGAAAGCTGTTAACGAAAGGGTGAAAAGGAAACAGTCGGAACAGAAAGGAAAGAACTGGACAGAGGATGAAAATGGAAGTAGCAGACGTACACGATGGCGGAAGGTTGTATACTTTGAAAAATTGGAATCGTGGCAGAAAGCTTTATCACTCGGAAATAATTATCAGTATTTGTCTTGCTCTGTTTCAGTTTATTAATATCTATCTATCTATCACAGTCTGTTCATTATCTATCTATCTATCTATCTATCTATCTATCACAGTCGCTTCATATCTATCTATCTATCTATCTATCTATCTATCTATCTATCACAGTCGCTTCATATCTATCTCAATATTCCCATTATCCATCTATCTATCTATCTATCTATCTATCTATCTCAATCTTTTCATTATCTGTCTATCTCAGTCTTTCATCTCCATTTATTTATCTCAGTGCTTATATCTATCTATTTATCTATATATTGTGTGTATTTAGGCAGCATTTTTTCATTCATACATGTTTCATTAAGTGCTGTCTAGTTATTGTATGTAAATTCTTTTCATATCGTCTGATAAGCTTAATAACATTATCATTAAACGAAGAAAGAAAATCACAATATTGATACATATTTTTTAATCCTATCTAAGCTTTCGGCTTACATAAGCCATTATCAAAGATGACAATTACTGTACAATATATTAAGCAATCCACGGACAAGAAAGTGATGATAGTCTGTTTCTGTTTACATGGACGATTTCCAAGCAACGAAAAACTCGTGCATATAAGACACTGGAAGCGAAAATCGCACCGCAGCTCATGACGTCACGCATGACCACGCGAGAGTGAATTCGAGAAGTATTAAGTATGGGAAGCCGTTGGTTTCAACCAATTGCTCCTGTTATCTATCATACGCATTTAAGTATATTTGTGGAGTTTTCATAGTTTATTTTGTTCAGGTTAGATTTCAACTGTTTGATGTATATAGCTTCAAGAATTTTAGTTTTTGTTTATTGTTTTCATGTTTAAGTATAGTTGTGTTTTCAACAAGGATTTTACGGAATTGTGTATGCAGTCAGGTATATTGTTTTAAATGCCTAAAAATATTAGAGCTATCATTCAAATGTAGAGTCAAGCGTCGTGAAAGCGAATTTGTAGTGTGACCAACATAAATATTATTTAATTCGTTGGAGATACAATCTCCCAAAAGGCACTTGAATTTGTAAACTATGTTGGTTTTTTGCAAATCGCTAACCGGGGGGGGGGAAGAATCATTGCGAATAATTAAGTTGGATATACTAGATTTAGTGTAGTATATGATTAACTTAATTTTTTTGCTAGTATCTGTTGTAGATATATTAGTATTTATTAATTGTTTAGTATATTTTCATCTTGTTTATAATTAGTATGCATTTGATTACGATATAGGAGATTAATAAGTTTGAGATTAGTAGAAGCAGTATTATGTACTATTTGCTTAGTATTGAGATTTCTAAGAAAGCATTTTATTTGTTCATCAACTATATAGTTTGGAAAGCTATTATTAATAAGTGTCTGTTTTATATTCTTTAGTTCACTGTAAAAAATCTGTTTTGTGGATGACTTAGTTTCTGCACGATGTATTAGATTCTTTATAATTACTATTTTGTAATATGGGCATTCGCTCTTGTAGTTAAGTGTACATGAATTTATGCTTGTAGGTTTTTTGTATGTCGAAATAGTCAATTTGTTATTATTTGTGTTTATCAATATGTTAAGGTAGGGGATTTTATTATTAGTATTGAGTTCATATGTGAATTTCAGGACAGAATTATTTTGGAAACGTTTTTGAAGTTGAATTATTTCATCTGTATTTTTAACTAACATAAGGATATCATCAGCATATCTTAGATGGAAGGTTTTTTAAAATCTGTAAATATCTT